TGTACACCCGCCCTACTCATGTTGGGACGGGAGCTGCGGTCGCCAGCTGAGATGGCTTTCGGTAAACCACCGGATGCACTGGGGGCCCCACCTGGTCCGGAATATGCCAGGAGGCTTCAGGACCGGATGGAGGTCAGCTCATTCTTTTGCCCGTGACCAGCTGCAGAAAGCAGGTATAAGACAAAAAATGAACTATGACACGAGAGCCAGAGGGAAGGACTTTACGGTTGGGGACTTGGTGTGGGTGTATAACCCGAAGAGGAAGAAGGCCAGCTGCCGCCTAGGGGGCGGCGAGTGGCTCTCCACAGGGACAGGTTGGCCCCATACCGAGGCAATGCCCGGCCACACCAGTGCTCTGGATCCTACCGGAGAAATGTGTCAACCACATACCCAGATGCGCGAACTGTTCATCCTGGCAGTTCGCCACCCCTGAACCCACCCCCTGCTCACCAGCAGGATGTTCCAAGACTGCAGGTGCAGCGGTTTGTGCTCACCCCAAAGCGGACTCGGAGGCAGACACGGGCCCCGGGTCACCTCACTTTTTATGTGATCCCTCGGGGTGAGGGACTTTGTGAGGGGGGAGGGCAGTGTAGTGATCCTTCACTTGGCATGTTATGATGTTCTAAATTGTTATGGTTCCTTGATGGGTGTGGAGCTTCAGGGGTTAAGAGGTGTGAGAGCGGGAGGGAGAGAAGTGTGGAGGGGATTTGAGCTACAGAGGGTGTTAGCAGGTTGTTCATCTTTTTTCTTGGTGTTGTTGGGCTGTTGTTTTGGCGTGGTTACGGCCAACAGTAACCGGTTGTGTGGAGTTAATAAAAAAGCGACTATTCGTCTTCCTTATGTCCTGCGGGACGCTACAGTATTTATAGTAAGTTGGTTCCATCTGTGTGCAGTGTAGTAGCTAAAAGTAGCTTCATCCTATTTGGTTCGGACCCGAAGTTCTACCAGCTGACTGCTTCCTAAGGATCTGAGAGCCCTGCTGGGTTTGGATTCTTCAAGGAGATCAGAAGTGTATTTTGGCACCATAACACTGAGTGATTTATAAACTAGCAGAAGAACTTTAAAATCAATTCTGTAGGTAACTGGTAGCCAGCATAACAGCAGTATTCTGAATGAGCTGAAGTTGTCTAACAGTGTTTTTGTGAAGCCCAGACAAAAGACTGTTAAAATAGAAACACCTTGTTGTTCTAAATCTTATCTGGACATGAGATCTCTGGGTGTTGCCACTTGTTTGAGATGATAAAGCGATTATTTAGATATGGGTTAATGTGGCTGATGAAGCTCAGATCTCAGTCAGTGAAGACACCAAGATTTCTAACTTGAGTTTTTGTCTTTATAGCTCTGGAGTTAAGCTGGACATTAACTGTGATTCTTTTCTTCTTTTTGTCTTGAATTGCATCCATATATTTACTTGCTCTAAGCACTGATGGAGTTAGTCCAAGGCCCATGACACACCAAGCTGATGGTTGGCCTTAGGCCACCTTTGGGCCATCAGTGAGTGTCTATCGGGGCTTGTCTTCCCAGTGTGTCCTGCACAGTTGGCACTAGTTGGACCCTGTCAATGACTTTTTGGCTGATTTGGCATGTTGAATTAGCATTAGGCTTCATCATTGAGAGAAACCACTCTGATTGGCTGTTCATCTAACTGAATCAATGCATGAGAATGATGTGTTCAGGAAAGCCCCTTGAGCCTGTCACTGTAGTATCCATGATTTTACCTATTAAGTGTGGTCCCTCCTTGTTTTTCCATCTCCACAACCTCCTTACTTCTTCCACAACCAAAAGATCAAGGGCAGAGAATGTCAGTGTCATTTGCAATGTCTTAATAGACATATTCTATGTATGTGCTAGTGGGCCATTGGCTGGAGTCTGCGCAGTGTGTTCAAGCATCACTTTTTTGACCTGACTGGCCTATGGGGGTTATATTGGTATTTATGTTGCATCCATTAGTGGGTCATGAAAATCATGAATATTATTTGACTTTGTATTCATAAGACATCACCAGCCTTATCAAAATTGAATAAGTAATGCCATTAACTATGTTTGGTGCTTTGCTTGCTTTTCAGCTTGCACTGTGTACAGTTGTAGCTTTTAGAATTTCATTGTACTGGTACAATGACAATAAAGGGCATTCTATTCTATTCTATTCTATTCTATTCTATTCTATTCTATTCTATGTCTTGTGTGGTGGCAAGGGGTTAATGCCAACAACTGCTGTACTGTTGCTTACCACTAGATGCTAACATTAGCACTGAGCTGTGTGACAATGCTGCTGTTATTAACTGAGAAGCCTGGACTAGTAGTAAACATATTAGATGCCTGAGTTTGTAGCTAAGCATGCTTTCTGACCCAAAGAGTAACTTAATGTTTTTCAGTGTGATCTCACCTGAAGTAGGGTTGCCACATTCAGCATGAATAAACATATCCTGTCCTTCCATGGCTACCATGGCCATTTTTAGAGCATTAGCTGTACTTTGTAGTTGTGGACTATGATATAACTTTTCTTTACAAGCTATGGGAATTAAATCACAGAGTTATGTAAATAACAGACTACAATGTAACAAATATTATACAACTAATTCATGTGTAAGCATTTCTATGTCATTTACACTGATCAGTCATAATATACTGTATGTGCAAACCTGGAGTAAGTGGACTACCTGTGCAACCTGACTGGGCTGCAGGTACTACCTCATGTTCTCAACTCAACTCTACTCAACTTTATTTATATAGCGCTTTACCACAGCACAGCTGACCAAAGCACTTAACATATCATTCAAATATAATACCATTACCAGTAGTGACAAGGGCACTAGTAAAACACAGAACGTGAGAAGAATCAGTCAGGCAGGATGAGGAGAGAGGAAATGCAATTGTCTGTGGCCACCACATGGAAAACCATTCCCTTTTTGAGGTTGTCTTGCTTTTGCCTCTCCACTGCACCTGTTGTCACTTTCATTTGCACCAAAGTGGGTGAAACTGATTCACTAAATGGACAGATTGATATCCCTGATGTTTAACTGACTTGGTCTTATACTGTGATGATAAAGTGTTGCCTTAATCTTTTGAGCAGTTTATATTGCACACTCAAATGTTTGAAATCTGTCTTTATCTCTGCATCAGACTAACTGCTGGTCTTTCTGTTATATATTTGCAGGAGCTGCAGTACCAGCAGTCACAGTCCACTCAGGGTCCTGTTGACAAGTTTGTCCCTGTGATTACTCAGTTTATCACTATGGCCTCTTTTAGCTTCTCTGAGGTAGAGGAGTCTCTCGCTGAGGCCAAAGAACTGGTGAGCAGGCAACAGATAATGGTTATTCACAGTCATGGTTTTTCACTTTCTTCTGCCTTCAGAGACATATAATATCATCATAACACTAATCAATGTTAAAGGGTACCTAAACCCCTTTATTCTATAACTTTCTGCTCTCCTAGCATATTTAAAAAATGCAATTGAGTGAGGAGCAAGTAGAAGTGGGCACAGCCTCGTCGCTACATAATGTGTGATGTGAAGAGTCAGAGGACACGAACAGACCACTACTCACACAGTATCATGGGCTAACTAACTAATAACCATGAGAAGCTTGTGTTGAAATTTCCTAATTTCCTTTTCTCTGCTGGAGACAGAGACTGATGGAGCTCTGACAGTCACCACAACCATAGTTATGTCCATTTGAGAGCGTCACTTTATGGATATTTGAGTTGTAGCTGCGCTAGCAGTGCTATTGCCAGAGTTGTCAACTTCCTGAAATGGAAATAAGGGATGCCTAGGGGAGGGTGGTGTTTTTTATTAGCTGTATATAATATGTAAACTATCATTATAATAAAAAATAAAATAGAAGAGTAAATATTATTTACTACTCAGTTGTTTTGGTTGACATTATATATTTAAATATGATGTAGTTTCACTTAGTGAAAAAAAATTTACTGTTGTCAATCAACCAGATTTGGGTTTATAAATCTACATGATTATTAGCCTCTGCACCTACCATATTGCCCTCTGGAGATGCCTGGCATTCAAGGAACTTTGACAGTGCTCCCATTTCCTGCATCCTCCTGTAACTTGTGATGCTCTCCAGATGCATGCTATTTAACATCAATTCCTCTGAGACATATAGAGATAGCCCAGCAGCAGATGATGTGGTTGGCCTCGCACACATTGTAATTCATGCATTCCAGCCATTTGTATCCTTTATCAATTCTCTCTGTATTTTTCTAATATTTACCTTTTTTTGCCACCATTTTTATAATCCCACACAGGCATATTGTAGCAACTCTTACAACACTTCTCATTGTTCATGTTTGGGATAGTGGAAGACGATAGATAGGCTGGGGGGGGGGGGGGGGGGGGGGGGGACTCC